TTTTTTTTTTTTTTTTGAGGGTTGCTTTAAACTTCCACAAATATATCACAACATTTTTGTTTTCTTCAGACAGGTGATTTGGCTTCTGCACAGTTAGGAGGAGCACCAAACCGATGGGAGGTTTTGTCAGCCACACCTACAACTATAAAAGATGAAGCTGGTAATCTAGTACAGATTCCAAGTTCTGCTACTTCAAGTGGGCAGTATGTTCTTCCCCTTCAGAATTTGCAGAATCAACAAATATTTTCAGTTGCACCAGGATCAGATTCTTCAAATGGTACAGTGTCCAATGTTCAATATCAAGTAATACCACAGATTCAGTCAACAGATGGTCAGCAGGTTCAGATTGGTTTCACAGGCTCTTCAGATAATGGGGGTATAAATCAAGAAAACAGTCAAATTCAGATCATTCCTGGCTCTAATCAAACATTACTTGCTTCTGGAACACCTCCTGCTAATATCCAGAATCTTATACCACCGACTGGTCAAGTCCAGGTTCAGGGAGTTGCAATTGGTGGTTCATCTTTTCCTGGCCAAACCCAAGTAGTTGCTAATGTGCCTCTTGGTCTGCCAGGAAATATTACCTTTGTACCAATCAATAGTGTCGATCTAGATTCTTTGGGACTTTCGGGCAGTTCTCAGACAATGACTGCAGGCATTAATGCCGATGGACATTTGATAAACACAGGACAAGCTATGGATAGTTCAGACAATTCAGAAAGGACTGGTGAGCGGGTTTCTCCTGATATTAATGAAACTAATACTGATACAGATTTATTTGTGCCAACATCATCTTCATCACAGTTGCCTGTTACAATAGATAGTACAGGTATATTACAACAAAATACAAATAGCTTGGCTACGTCTAGTGGGCAAGTTCATTCTTCAGATCTTCAGGGAAATTATATCCAATCGCCTGTTTCTGAAGAGACACAGGCTCAGAATATTCAGGTTTCTACAGCACAGCCTGTTGTACAACATCTACAACTTCAAGAGTCTCAGCAGCCAACCAGTCAAGCCCAAATTGTGCAAGGTATTACACCACAGACAATCCATGGTGTGCAAGCCAGTGGTCAGAATATATCACAACAGGCTTTGCAAAATCTTCAGTTGCAGCTGAATCCTGGAACCTTTTTAATTCAGGCACAGACAGTGACCCCTTCTGGACAAATAACTTGGCAAACATTTCAAGTGCAAGGGGTCCAGAACTTGCAGAATTTGCAAATACAGAATACTGCTGCCCAACAAATAACTTTGACGCCTGTTCAGACACTCACACTTGGTCAGATTGCAGCAGGTGGAGCCTTGACTTCAACGCCAGTTAGTCTAAGCACTGGTCAGTTGCCAAATCTACAGACAGTTACAGTAAACTCTATAGATTCTACTGGTATTCAGCTACATCCAGGAGAGAATGCTGACAGTCCTGCAGGTGAGTCTTAAGCTTAAGTTCAGTGATAATACATAGAGAAATTTTTTGTTTTAGGTGTTTATAGGCATCTAGCTCTTGTTAAAGGTGATGATCCACTTCCCTATATTTTCTATGAAAGACATAAAAATATCTTGCAAATTGTTCTTTTGATGTTAAGAATTTATTTTTCTACTGTACCAATTACATTTGTAGTTTTTCCTTAACAATTTTGTATTTGTTTTGATATCTGATAGGTATTGTTAAGCATATAAAATCATTGGCAGGTGGTAGGGTAGGGTGTCTTGGTTGGCCTTGATATAATGTGAATTAAACACTTTTTTTTGCATATTTTATATTTGGTTAGGGAATGAGGTTGGCATAGTGAAAACATGGTAGTGGGAGCAAAACTGCTTATGCTGCCTGAGCCATTAGCTAGGTGTGATTTGGGCGAAGTAATTTTTCTCTTATAAACTCAGTTTCCTGATTGTGTAAAGTGGAGATGTTAAGATTAGGTGGTTTTATCTAGGGTACCTTCCAGACCTGAACTTACTTGTGATTATGGACACTGAACTGTGCTAGATATAGTTACTAAGAGTATGGGTAGAAATTTCAGAAGTTACTCTTTGAATATTGTACAAAAATTAAATAATAAAGTTGAAAAGGATATAGTGTTGTTACACTACTAATGTTATTGTCTAGATAACGTTTTATGAATGTTTAGTTGTACACTAAATCCCGAATTTTATTACTTTAATTCTTCTTTGTATTTGGGTTTCTGTGGAGAAGGTACTGTTACAACCTTTTATTGGGTCAGTGATTGCAAACTCTTAAGGTGGGGCACTTAAATTGAACTTAACTGGAATAACCCCCATCATTCATTCAGAGTCTCCCTTTGTTGCCCCTAGTAGAGTATATGGTGTCATCGCTCACAGCAACCTCAGACTCCTAGGCTCAAGTGATTCTCTTGCCTCAGCCTTCCGAGTAGCCTGAGACTACAGGTCCCCTCTACAGCACGTGGCTATTTTTGGAGATGGGGTTCTCCCCTTTGCTCAGGCTGGTCTTGAATTCCTGGGCTCACCTTGTCCACCTGCCTGGGCCTCCCAGAGAGCTGGGATAACAGGCGTGAGCCACTGCGTTGCTTAAAGTCCCCATTATTGCTTAAAGATGACCTTTTTCCTTTTGAGAAATTTGTAATATATACTTACAAAATTGGAAATGTCTTGGAGCCTCAGATTTGTATTTGCAAATGCTTTAATCGCATTAGAATCTTCTGACGCCATGGTTTAAAACAGTAGTTCTTAAAGTGTGCTCTCTGGACCCCTAGGGATCACTGAGATCCTTCTTGTTGAACTACTTTTCATAATAATACTAAGAAGTTATTTACATTTTTCTTTGTATTGACACTTTCACTGATGGTGGGTAAAACTGCTGTGTTTCAGCCCCAATCAAGGGAGTAGTATCAGACTGTTAGTAGTGGCTGTATTCTTCATGACCATACACTTGAAGCTAAAGAAAATTCCAGTTTCACTCAAGAATGACCTCGATGAACCCCTAAAAATTGGTTATTTTTACTAAATCTGGACTGTCGAGTGCTTCCTATCTTTTAAAAAAATAATAGCTTTATTGGGGTGGTACCTGTAGCTCAGTGGGTAGGGCGCTGGCCACATACACCCAGGCTGGAGGGTTCGAATCCGGCCAGGGCCAGTTAAAACGACAACTGCAACAACAGCAACAAAAAATAGCCGAGGTTGTGGTGGGCACCTGTAGTGCCAGCTACTTGGGAGGCTGAGATGGGAATCGCTTGAGCCCAACCAAGAGTTTGAAGTTGCTGTGAACTGTGATGCCATGGCACTCTACCGAGGGTGACATAATGAGACTCTGTCTCAGAAAAAAAGAAAAATAATAGCTTTATTGGAATCTAATTCACATACTAAACAATTCACTCTTTGTATAGCTCAGTGGATTTTAATGTAGTCATAGACTTCAACAACCATCTTCAGTAATTTTAGAATATTTTGAACACACCCCCAGAAGAGACAGACCTCTGTCCATTAGCAGTCACTCCTCATTCCCTCCCATTTTCAGCCCAGGTTATTACTGTTCTACCCGCCTTTTCCCTTGGATTGGTATATTATTTTGTATCAGTGTAATTATACATGGCCTTTGGCATCTGGCTCCTTTCATTTAGCATGTTTTTAAGGTTCATCTGTGTTGTAAGATGTATTGGTACTCCATTCCTTTTTAGGGCTGAATGATAATCTGTTGTATGACTATACACATTTTATTTATCTGTTGATGGACATTTGGATTGTTTTTACTTTTTTTCCGCTTATTATGAATAATGCTGTGAACATTTGTGTAAGTAGTTTTTTGTTTGAACATATGTTTTTTGGGGGGTATATACCTATGAATGAATTATTGGGTTTTATGGTAACTCTGTTGAACTTCTTGAGGAATTGAGTTTTCTAAAAGAGACTATGCCATTTTACATTCTTACTAGCAACGTATTGAGGGTTCTAATTTTGCTGTAGCCCAAACATTTGTTTTTATTTATTTATTTTTTTTTTGAGACAGAGTCTAAGCAATGCAGTTAGTTTATGAGTTTAAGCTGTACTAGATTGTGTTTTCATAAAACTTTTTTTTATTTGAAAGAGTGACCCACAAAATATGGTTTTTGAGATTAATACATTTAAGTGAAAAATACTTTCTCAAAAAAATGAAGTGAGCATACCACTTAAAGGAAAAAGCCCTGCTACCAGTGATGAAGTTTGGGCTTTCCAATGAAAATTAGAAGTTTGGAAAACTTAAATCTACTCACATCAACTTGATAGATTTTTCTTTCTTAAATTTATTTTCACTTTTTAACTTTGACTTGCTGTTCTATGAAGCTTCTTAGTATTTATGTTTTTTTTCTTGAGATAAATAGGGTATTTTGGATAGTATAATGACATGTGCCAACACTTGGAAAATATGGTAGCTCAGTGAACCAGTAGTTCTCAGCTGATCAACTAATTATGCAACAAAATCATTCATGGGTAAAAGATCCATTCAAAGTCCAGAATAGGCCAGTAACAGAATAGAAAATTTACTGATGTTTCAGATTCCATATTTATACCGACCTTTAAGAAACTGACACTTGTCAGTTTTGGTATAGTAGCAAAGTAGAATACTCAAAGTTGACTGAAAGGCTATTAAATTATTCCTCTCTTTTTCAGCGTAGTTATTCTTCATAGGCTTCAGGCCAAACCGTGTAGTGCAAGAGATTGAATACCAAAGCTTATCTGAGATTCTAAATGTCTTTTAACCTAGATACTACAGAGATTTACAAAAATGCAGAACGTGGTTTCTCTTATACTTTTTTGTTTTGGAAATTTTTTTTTTTTTTTTTTTTGGGAGACAGTCTCACTTTATCGTTGTCAGTAAAATGCTATGGTGTTCATAGTTCAGAGCAACCTCAAACTCTTGGGCTCTGGTGATTCTCTTGCCTCAGTCAGCCTTCCAAGTAGCTGGGACTGCCACAATACCTGGCTATTTTTAGAGATAAGGTTTCTGTCTGGCTCAGGTTGGTCTTGAACCTGTGAGCTCAGGCAGTCTACCTGCTTTGGCTTCCTTGTGTTCAGCTTGGAAAATAGTTTTTTATAAAATGTAATTCATGTTAACATGTAATAGATTTTTTAGAATGAATTTTAAAATTTCAAATTTCTGTTGATATAAATATATCTTTTAGCTTCTAATACATAAATATCGAGAGATATACATGTATATCTTACATGAGCAAAAGTGTTTTTGTGGACCTTAGTAATATTTAAGAGTTAAGGCTCAGCGCCTGTGGCTCAAGTGACTAAGGCGCCAGCCACATACACCTAAGGTGGCGGGTTCGAATCCAGCCCGAACCCACCAAAACAACAATGGCAGCTGCAACCAAAAAATAGCTAGGCGTTGTGGCGGGTGCTTATGGTCCCAGCTACTTGGGAGGCTGAGGCAGGAGACTCGCTTGAGCCTGGGAGTTGGAGGTTACTATGAGCTGTGATGCCATGGCACTCTACCCAGGGGGATAGCTTGAGGCTCTGTCTCAAAAAAAAGTTTAAAAAGAGTTCAGAGGCTGGGCGTGGTGGCTAATGCCTGTTAATCCTTGTACTCTGGGGAGGCCAAGGTGGGCAGATCTCTTTAGCTCAGGAATTCAATCAAGACCAGCCTGAGCAAGAGTGAGACTCTATCTCCGCTAAAAATAGAAAAATTAGCCAGGCATCCCAGCTGAAGCCACTGGCCTGGTCCCAACTAGGTGCTCAACTACTTGTGAGGCTAAGGCAGCAGAATTGCCTGGAGTTGCTGTGAGTTAGGGTGATGCTACAGAACTCAACCTGGGGCAACAGAGTGAGATTCTGTCTCAAAAAAAAAAAAAGTTTGGTAACTACTGGTAAGGTGACTGGTTTTTGAAGACATAGTAGATAGTATGTTTCTATCCCTCCCCTTCCTCTATCTATGAGAAAGTCTCACTCTGTCACTTGGGGTGGAGTGCTGTGACATCATGTCATAACTCCAGTAAACTCAAACTCTTGGGCTCAGGTGATCCTTCTGCCTTAGCCTCTGGCGTAACAGAGACTGCAGATGAGTGCCACCATGCCTGCCTAATTTTCCTGTTTTTATTAAAGATGGAGTCTGATCTCAGACTCCTGAGATAAAGTAATCCACCTACCTTAGCCCCCTAGAATGTTAGAATTACAGGCATGAGCCACTGGGCTTGGCCTCAGCAGATTGTTTTTGCAAACCAGTTTTTAACATTTTATGCAAAGCCTAATGTTGCAATGTTCTATACATGTTAAGAAATAGCATCTCTAGAATATTTGTGCTTTTTGTGGATTTATGTTGGTCATGAAGTTAGGTTGGTCATGAAGTTAGAAGCACTAGATGCTTCTTCAATAAAGTAATTTATTGTTGAACGTTACCCAATAGAAACATTTATGAATAAATACGAATTTTTAAAGTGACAATATAGTTTATTGGGTGGTGGCCAGGAAGAG